ATTTAATCATGTAGGTTTTATTTATTTAAGAATTGTACAATCGATGACCCCGCATAGTAAGTGAGCAGGGCAAATTCTTATTTGAAAAATATTGTATCACTCATTGCAAAAGTATACCTTAAGGTTTCGATATAATAAAATTATTCAAATGGTAATTCATATAAAATGAGTGTTTGGTTCATGTGTTTAATTTGATGCATAATATGATATAAAATTTAATTAATTAATATTAGTGAGCAATGATTTAAATTTAATGCATGTTTTGTGAATCAAATGAAAATAAAGGGTAAAAACTTGATTCACATTAAAGTGCCAAAAGTGGTCACCAAAAAGGTCTCAATTATCCGCTGAATAAGACTTTTGTGGCACTCATTGCGAGAATACCTGGCGTTTCACTCATCACTTCATTTGGTAAGCATTTCAGCCTTTAATTCACATTTGATTTCACTTTTTCAACTCATTTACAAAGTCTTTGCCGAAGACTTGCCACGAGTTTGTGTCGCCACTTCTTGAGACCATTCCTCCCATACTATGAGACAATACTTTGCCATCACATGAGTCTTAAAGTCTCATCCGTTTGACAGTATCGACAGCACCGGTAGTATTGACTACAACACCGATAGTAAGTCAACGATAAGTGAATCACTGAATCGTTTGAATCGATTAACACATCTGACACTTATGGGTAATATTTGTGACAAGGGTTTCATTAGTCATGAATTCTTTGAGAATATACATCAGAATATTCCTAATGTCCAGTACATAGACATTAACAAAGTAAAAGTCACGTCACATGTGTTGAACTGTTTGGCAAAACTCAAGAATATTCATAGCATTAGACTCACTGGTGATGAGGAATACCTACGAATGGATGTCCAGAATGTGGTGGAAATGTGTCATAAAATTAGTTGTTTTCAAGTTAATCGTAAAAAGTATCGTATTTTGTAAATATTTATCGATAATAGGATTCATTACTTTTAAACTGTTTTTCCTGTAATACTCTATAATTTTTCTAAACACCGTATGACTGATCCAATTGTGTCCTATAATTAGATCATTAATTATAACAGAAATAATATTTTTTAAAATTTATTCATTAATTGAACTCAATTTAATTGAATTGATTGTAAAATGTTTGCATTCATTGAGAAGTTGTTTAATGAGTGCTATGCGCGTATAATGTCACAAATCTATGTACGGCTTAATTTGAATTTAATTTTCCTTGTTCAATATTTAAATAAATAAATTATTAAAACATAAAATGTGTAGAAAATAACAGTAAGTTTAATTACAATTTCATTTGTGTGTTCACTTGAAGTTGATTCACAAAAATACAGTTAACTGTAAGTAATGTGTATTCGTGTCCATAGAGTGCACTCATCGTGTGATTGCATTGAATGTGTGAACAGCTGTTCAAGAGTTTGACATTTGATTTGTAAACAAATCACAATTCAGTCAATGATTGCGTTAATTCACTGTAACTCCAGTTATTAGCTTACAATTGGGTATATAGTGGACGGTTTGCTGAGTCAACAGCACCGGTAGTCAAGAATATATTTGTCACTCAATTGGTGGACATTTCGTGGTATCGACAGCACCGGTAGTATTGACTACAACACCGATAGTAAGTCTATTGAGTGATCGGTTTGAATGAATGACTCATTCGTTGATTTAATTATCAATTGATTCGCAGATATGTCGAGGAATAGGACAACGAGAATGCGGTTAAGAAGCGATACAACTCTGTGTCAAGGCTTCGGCGGCAAAGACTCTTTGGACCGATTCGGTGATGACTTGTGTGAAGTCTTATTGTCTTTCCTATCACTCTCTTCGCGGTTCCGATGTGAATGTGTGTCCAAACAGTGGCAGAGAGTGGTATACCAGACACAAACGGATCTCATAATTAGTGGCTGCGGTATAAGCCACAAGAGGTTTGAATGGATACTAAGAAAGTGTGCAAACATTACACACATTGAATGCACGGCTTATGTGTTGACCGACTCTATGGTGAACTCAATCGTCAAACACTGCCGTCATTTGAATGCATTTCTGATGGACTGCGGCCCGAGTGTCAACACCAAGACTATCGACACGTTTTTCGCGAAGTTTGCCAAACAATTGAAGACAATCCGTGTCGTCGATCACACGGAAAGTGAGACTATTTGGAAGTCATTTGCAAGAAATGTGAAGTTTTGCACGAATTTGCATGAATTGGATGATAGTTTCCGCGACTTCTGGTACGTTAGTACGAAAGCGTTGGATCTATTGAGTGATGCTTCAGACGAGTTTGCGTTACGAAAAGCGCATGCATTTAGGATCTCTTTTAAGGAACAATTAATGAATTTGTTTGAAACATTTGTCGCAAACTATGGCCAAAGAGTGCAAACAATTTGTGTCGAAACCTTAGACCAGAATCTCTATGAGAAGTCTTTGGATATACTGATGACTGGTTTGTCACAAATGCAACAATTAATTGATTTACAGATTAATTCCTATGACGATCCGTTGAGTACTTTCATAATGAGTCGATTGAAGCCAATTGGTGTCAACTGTAAGAAACTCAAGAGGCTGGCGCTCATTGTAGACATGGATTCCGGCGTTTATGGCCTGTTATTGCAAACTATTAATGAAAACTTCAATCAATTAAAGCGATTGGAAGTAATGAACAGAAATGAAGCAACTTTTCTGTTAACGAGTGAATCGCTGAACCGATGCAATCGATTAACGCATTTAACACTCATTTCCGGGTATTTCTATGAACGGGACTACAACTATGTGGACAATAAGTTCTTTAAGAATATCGATCAGAATATTCCTAATGTGGTGTACATGCGGATCGTGACCAACAAAATCACGGCAAATGTGTTGAATAGTGTGTCGAAACTCAGGAATATTCGTTACGTCGAACTCGACGGCAATTCCACGTACAGACAAAAAGCTGTCCAGAATCTCGCGAACAAATGTCCCAAGGTTAGTTTTTGCCATAATGGGCAACAGGTTTTGTGAGTGTTTAGCGAGTATTTGAGGACAATTGTACTTTTTTGTTTAATACTTGAACAAAGTTTGAATTGTATTACTCTGACTATAACTTTCTAAATGCTGTTACAATTAACTATTTGTTGAAATTGCTATAAAGTCTGTATTTGTAATAAAGTTTGTAACATTATTTCATTTGTGATGTTCATGTGTTTTAGTTATACTGTATTACAAGCGTCTAGTTACTAGTCATTAAAACGACTGGAAATTAACAAATATTTGTTTAAAGACATTAAATCTAATAATTCTGGTAATGAATACAAACGTATCGCACATTTAACGCTGCATTTAGATGTCAATGATTTCACTAATTATATCACATATGAGTCGAAATTCTTTATCAAATGTTTGGCAAACTTTTGCCAACAGTTTCCCAAACTTTTGTACTTAAGTGTGGAAAACATTTTCATTACAAATGTGTTGAAGTCATTGTCGAGACTCAGGAATATTCAATACATTAGACTCAGAGGTGTCTCTAAATATCAGATATTAGAGGATTTGTATCAAAATAATCCTAATATAATGATCATTCAAATTATTGCTTAAATATCAGTAAATAAACTGTGCCGGCTATTATATTATGTATTCACAAATTTGTCATTAAAAGATACTTGTAATACACCGTACAACTGATAGAAATACAGTACAGTATATGGAAAATTTTAATATACTAAGTGTACAAAGTATTGAAGTATTTGAGTAATAATTTCTATTTAAGAGTTCATTGCAAATTTTATGCACACATTAACAAAACAAATTTTTGTTTTTAATTCATTAATTTACTAAATTATTTTATAAATTATGAATACAAACCTAGTTTTAGTATATTTCAAATGTGCCGCCAGTAGTGTCACGTGATTTGCATACCTTTTGCGGGCCCATCACCACATTGTTTACTATGAGTTCATTCACTGTCTGTCACTCAATGTGTTTGCAAACAGTGTTTACATTTCATGTCATTTACTAATCAAACGATTGATTCAATCATTGGTTATTAAAAAATTCAATTATTTTTAGTATCAATACAAATGAGAGTGTGACCACAAGTATACACAATCACCGGCACCGGTAGTACACGATCTCTGCAATAGTACTGTACGAGTGAGTCATTAGTTAACAATGTGTTGTGTTTTCAATGAATGAGTATTTCATTAATTGTTTGTTATTTGTATTCAGGTTTTAGTGAAACAAGTCGTCAATGGATTGCAAAGTATTGTCTCATAAGTGGTGAGAGGAATGACCGCAAGAAGTAGTCATACAATGAATGCACAGAAAGTCTATCCGAAAGACT